CATTCGGCCGAAGACCAAAAACAATATGAACTTCCAGCCTGAATAAACCATAACTGATCAGTCCACGTTAATCGTTAATTTTTTTTGTGAAGAATAAGGATTGGGGGAGGGGGGGTTAATAGAGAGGGGGGCTTATTAACTTTCCTCCTCTGAAAAGGGGGGGGGGCTTAATACTTAGACATGAAGTGGAAATAGTGCCTGTCCTATTTCCATATCTCTGGGATATCTACATGGGACACAATACTTAGAGATGAAATGGGAATAGTGCCTGCCCTATTTCCATATCCCTAGGATATCTGCATGGGACACAATACTTAGACAGGAAGTGGGAATTGTGCCTTCCTTATTTCCATATCCCTGGAGATATATACACGGGACACAATACTTAGACATTAAGTGGGAATAGTGCCTGCCCTTTTTCCATATCCCTGGGGATACCTACGTGGGACATAATACTTAGACATGAAGTGGGAATTGTGCCTTCCTTATTTCCATATCCCTGGGGATATCTACTTGGGACACAGTACTTAGACAGGAAGTAGGAATTATGCCTACCCTATTTCCATATCCCTGGGGATATCTACATAGGAGACAATACTTAGACATGAAGTGGGAATTGTGCCTGCCCTATTTCCATATCCCTGGGGATATCTACATGTGACACAATACTTAGACACGAAATGGGAATAGTGCCTGCCCTATTTCCATATCCCTGGGGATATTTACTTGGGACACGATACTTAGACAGCAAGTGGGAATAGTGCCTTCCCTATTTCCATATCCCTGGGATATCTGCATGGGACACAATACTTAGAGATGAAATGGGAATAGTGCCTGCCCTATTTCCATATCCCTGGGGATATTTACTTGGGACACGATACTTAGACAGCAAGTGGGAATAGTGCCTTCCCTATTTCCATATCCCTGGGATATCTACATGGGACACAATACTTAGACATGAAGTGGGAATTGTGCCTTCCTGATTTCCATATCCCTGGGGATATTTACGTGGGAAAATACTTAGACAGGAAGTGGGAATTGTGCCTTCCCTATTTCCATGTCCGTGGGGATGTGTATATACATGGAGCACATTGCTTAAAGGGAAAGTGGGGATATATACATAGGGCATTCTGCTTAGTTTAGTATTATTATTAAACCCCATGGGTTCGAAAAGCTGTGTCTATCGATCTTCAAAATTTCGGTCTTGTCTGTACCTACAAAATGACGGTACTGTCATTGAATTTTGCAGTGACAAACGCAATCTATATCAGTGTCAATTGCCCGCCTTAGAAACCATAGGGAGAATGGGTACAAGCTTTGGTCGCAATGATTTCTGGAATGGTATAGGCGGACAAGCGTTAGTTATCATTGGTCGATGGTTTCCAAGGCAACCATTAACCAATCATAAGTAACGCTTGTCCACTCAACCGATCCCAGAAGTCGCTGCGCCGAAAGCTTGTACCCATTGCCCTTATAGTATCGAGAGTTGTCAGGAAGGTTATCTACTCCTGACCAGTAATCGCGACTCTGATGAGACTCAGCGTGATTAACTCTGGAATTCTTTTGAAGGTAATGGAAAGAAACGTAATGTAATGGAAATGTGGTCTTCCATGCAATGGTGAGACCACTCGCCTCCCTCCCACTTATGTGACCTGTGTTCAAATCCCGGCGTCGACGCCATGTGGCTTGAGTTTGTTGTTGGTTCTCTTCTTTGCTACGAGAGGTTTTTCTCCGGGTACCTCGGTTTTTCCCTCTCCCTAAAAACCAGCACTTTCAAATTCCAATTCGATCTGGAACGCACGGACACGTTTTAACGAGTTCTCAAGATCTCCTAAGTGCTCCGTTGTTAAACAAAATTACATTAAAATTACTATTTTCAATGTTTGTAAGCCTGGTTTGTTCTATTGAGGTTTCCCTTGGGGCAACAAATTGTATGGAACGAATTCAGTTCTAACTGGATCCCTGAGCGGAGGGGGTGGGGTGGCAAGATGCATTGGCAAGGTGCATTGGCAAGGTGTATTATGGTCTATGTAAAAATGGTGAATTCATTTGGTTTATGTCTGGAAAATCGAGAAGAATGAGTCGAGAATTGGTCGTGTGGGTGTGTAAATATTTTATGTTACATGTTGCATGAAACCTTGAGCTTTTAATTTGTAGGAACGAAGAAAAATAGTCTGCATTAGTGTTGAAACAATATAAAGGTCTTTGTGAGTAAGTCGGGTTTTAACAAGAATGGATTAAGTCTGGATATGAAGAACAACATTCGCTACGTTTAAACCGTTTTATTAGAACACATTGTAAGTGGCACGAAAAGCAACGGTCGAATTACATCAAAAACTAAAAAGAAAAGCTGGAAGAAGAGTGATTGCTAAAAAAACACCCAGTGGTTTGGAAATCAGGCTCAATCTTTCAGTGTAAAGGAATGTTGTGTAATTTAATTTAAACCGAATGAAATGGTCTTTTTCAGTCTCGGGTTGCACTCCGGAATTCCTCAGCTTTCTTTGAAGTTAACACATAAGTAACGGGTTGAATAATAACATACCGTATTCCTAAAAAGAATCTAAACATTGTTTTCGATCTTCGCTAAATGTTAGTTGTTAGTTATTAAAAAGATGCTTAAAAATAAAACAAAAAGAAGCTACGTGCTTTTTAAAATTAGTCCTATTTGATGGTTTAAAACGTGATTACATCTTTAAAAAAGTCGCACCATAGGTCACAGTTTATTAATAACTTCTCTAGTTCATTCTTATTGCTTTCCGAGAAAAAAATGAAAGAAAAAGTATTCCGATTAGTTGCCTTATAATAGTCTTTGTTAACAGTCTGAATTGATGTCAGGATAAAAAAAAAAGAAAGAGAAAAAAAGGGCATGTCCTACATCTATCGATGGATAAATTGCTAGCATCTTGCGTGCCATTTTAAAAACTTATTAAAAAAAATCAAGAAAAACTCAAATGGTCGGTTATTTAAACGAAATCTAACTTTGGCCGCGTTTAAAGGCTCGTTGAACTTCTAGAATTGTCTTAAAGTGTTTTTTTGTTTTGTTATGAAATTAAATGCTTTTCTAGTATACATTATATGTTTCCATGAAACTCAGTTTATGATAAACAGAATAGGAAATAGGATTAAGCAGGTTCTGTAGATGGCTTAGAGCGCGGTTTGGTTAAACATTAGCTAAACTCCGTTTAAATAATCGACTTAAAGATTTCATTAAAAACTAACACAAAGAAGCGATGTCAGAAACAACATCTATGCAAGGTGCAGCAAAATAAACTCATCAGTTCAAGTCCCCTCAGACAAGCTGTTTGTTGTCGTCACTGGAGGTTTTGGTGTATACAACTCGCGAAGCAGTCTGGGGATTGCGGTGGCGTTTATATAAGATCACCAAGGCAACTACCAGAGCGAACACTACGACGGCCAGGACACCAGCGACAGCGGCAAAAATGGTCAGCGAACTTGCAGACTTTTGCTCTAAAGAAACAAAAAGAAACAAATATTTTCATTGACAATATTAAACGATTTTTAGGTCCGTAAAGAACATTATAGATCAAATGTTTTCCTCTCCGATTTATAGCCTGATGTCGCAGACGTTATTTAACCTCGGTTAGTAACCTCTGCGTATCTTAGTTCTGGGCCCCCAACGGACTCAACGAATTATCGGAAATGCGTCACGAATTTTCTTTCATCCTGATTGGCAAATCCACAATAGCTTTTTTTTACAGGGCAATCATGAAGCGTGCTCAAATCCTGGTACACAGATGAAGGCCCAGAACAAGGATTCCGGTGCTGTTTCACAGACGAACTTAACCAGACTTTAAGCTAGTTTAGTATCTTCTGCGGCGCAGGCTATGGATTTATGTGCCGCAGGAGTGGACGGTGAGTCATGAAGGAATGCATGACGAGTTCGAGTTTGACTTTTTCACTCTCTAAGTTACTCACGCTTTGTAGCTGCAGATTTGCGTGCGAGTCCAACCGGTCCAATGGTGACGGTTTCTTCGGTTATAGCATCAAATTGTGCGCCACGCCTCTTCCTTCTAGCGTTTTCAGTGCATCCCTCTGCACAACGCGAATCATTGTCAGCGCTGCGGCAGGCCTCAACGTTACAGTGCAGATAAACTACGGCATCAGCACTTTCCCCAAGGAAACGGAAGGCGTCCAGTTTGAATCTCTGCACAGCGCTTAGTTCGTAGTCAAAGTCCAGAGTTTCATCTTTTCCGCAACTACAATAGCAAGGCCAAGTATATCACATATTATTAAAAACTGAATCATTGGATTATGCAGTTCTTGAGTTCTGATTGGCTTAGCGATCATGGTATATGCGCCATTATACGATGCTCTCCATATATATTAACTGTACGCGTCTGCTCAAAATTAAAAACAAGCTGAAAACGGGAAAGAACTCTCGATATTTTGTGGACGTTATTAATAAAACAATTATTCCACTCGCGTTTGTTAGATATGAGGTGATTATAGACAACTCGGCGCTACGCACCTCGCTGGCTACCCACCATTTCATATCCAACGCGCACGCGTGGAATAATTGTTTTAAAATAGTCATTGTCAATATAGGATAAAAACAACTCCACTTAATATGATAAGCACAAGAAATCTAACGAGAAACAAATGTTAATGTTTCAGCTTAATTCAAAGCTATTTCCAAAACAATAAAACAATTCTCTCAAACTTAATACGTATTATTCAGTCAGTCAAAAACAAATCTTTGCCCATACTCAAAATGCTCCTGTAGAGTTATGAAGATATTTAACACTGAAATTTCACCCAGGAGCACTTACCAAAACAATTTTTTCAGGCATATCGTTAAAAATTGAAACACTGAGCTGGCTTAACTTTTCAAGTTTCAATTCATGTCCGCCCTTTCTATCCGTTGCAAAAGACGACAGGAAACAGTCTCAACGCCTTAATGTAGTCTTAAATAACAAGAACGGACCACATATTATTTCTGGTATTCAAGTTTTATCTTTTTAAAAAGATAGCAAACAGCCTTACATGGCCCCTTTAAAAACAATGTTTGGCGTGGAGTTCTGCTGGTACCAGAATTACAAAGATGGAGTCTATAAATGAAAATTTATAAAGTCGACCTCGGAATAAGAAGATGACCTTTACCCGTTATCGATGAATGCATAAGACTTGTCATCGTCCGGTTCGGGTTCGGCGGTACCCCAGCATTTTACAGGAATCAACACCAACATAGAATCATTTGACTTGACTTGGACTTCCAAGTACATAGGCTCATTGAGGTCTACTCTAACAGGGTAGTCGGCGTAAGGGGTCTCGTACGCATCCGTCTCGTACATATCCATGGTGAATGTAAAGTTACCATACTCAGCTGTAAATGAGGAAAAAAAACTCTCAGAAACTTTTCAATGTCGTCTTAAAGTCGACTGTATTGGAGAACCATAATTACTGGTAGTCCAGGAGTTGAACTACCGAGAACAAAGCCAGCTAAAGGGGGGCAGGAATTGAACTCGAGGTCTCCGGATCACAAGTCCAGCGCTATAACTGTCTATAACCGTGTCTCTAGTGTAATAGCGTCAAGTTCTAATCACAAAAAAAACTGTCCTTTTCTTGTGTTTTAATTTTGCTGTACAGGGTAGTACTTACTAGTACTTACTTCTGTTGATTCAATACTGATTGTGTCCATTTAAATGAAACTATATTGTGGAAGTGTTTCATTTGCCATCCGTTGGTAAAAGCATAAAGTTCAAAAAGTTCGGATCTAAGTCAAGAGGAACTCTGTTCTTTTTGTTCAGTCCAAAAAGCGATCTGAAGCAATTTAACCCTTGAAACTGTGAGCAGTATTCATATGAAAGCTCCTTGGCAGTGTACCTCCCTATATATACTATTAATCTACTTAGTGTGTAATTTCAATTTTTGGGTACGTGGATTAAATCCTATTCAGTATAGTCATCTCAATGGATCCTCTTTTGCAGTAATTTTGCTTAGTACCGAGTTCCTCTCCAATAACTTATGGGCAAGTTTAGGAGTGACCGATTTTTAACAATACAGAGATAAAAGGGAATAAAAACCTGTCCTAGTGTAGATGACTTTTTCTCGTGGAGAAAAGCTGGCCACGGACACAATGGCTGAGCGAGGGTAGGTACACCTGAACGGGAATTCGGCCTGAAACTCTCTGGAAATAATAGCAGCTCCGGCAGATTCACGGGTCTCGGTTACAAGGCTGTTCTGATAAATGATGGTATCACCATCCGTAGTATGGTTAGTCATGCATGAATCAAGAGGTGCATTCAACCAGATGTGTGTGGCGTTTAAGCCTCCTAAATCGGCCAGTTTGCAGTTGGCATCACTCAGTGTGACTTTGTCCACAGCAATATTGGGATGATAGGTAATGTCCAATGTTACCATCATTCCGTCTGTTGTACACTTCACTGACAAACCTGTCAATAGTACCGAATCAAAATACAGTCATTTATCTGGGGGTGGGGGTGGGGGGCACTTTTAAAACTTGACAGGAACCGGAAACCGCGCATGAAAAGTCTCTGTCATCCAGCGTACCCAGTCCCTCTCCAAATTGTGAACGTTACATTTTACACAAAACATTCATTTATCATTGGACAGTGATTGGATTCGTTTGAACCAGTTCTCTTTTGGGCTTGAAGCATGAAAAGTCTCTGTCATCCAGCGTACCCAGTCCCTCTCCAAATTGTGAACGTTACATTTTACACAAAACATTCATTTATCATTGGACAGTGATTGGATTCGTTTGAACCAGTTCTCTTTTGGGCTTGATTAGCTTAAATGAATACAGCTTCGTATAGGGTTAATAAAGCCCTAGTAATTTCGCGCTTTTCATTCAGGGCGTTCCATTCTTCAACTGCTTAAGTTGAAAAAAAAGAAAAAGATATAAATTTACTTACTGTCTGGGGGTGGTTCTGTAGTGGCACCCTCTGTTGCATTGACTGCGACAGACCCTGTGGAAGGCTGTGTGGCAGCCTCTGTAGTAGCAGGCTCTGTAGCATTGACGGCAGGTTCAGTTGCATTTTGAGCTAAAACAAAAATAAAATGCTCCAAAATGTTATCGATCAGCCTTATAACTTGAGAAATAAATGACAAAAAATGGATCCTCAGCTTTCTGGAGTACTTTCGTTCATCTACAGGGTTAATCACTTTAAAGTTAATTTTAATGCTTGAAGTAAATTAATGACAATTCAGATTCAGAGGAAGGCTTCGACGGTGAAAATGGGAAAACCGTCACAGAAGAGTCAGAAGTTCTCGTTCAATTTGTTACTTGGGAGCAAAATGAATTGTAAGTTCACGGGATGTCAGTTTTGAATTCTTTTTTCAATTAATTATTCCTTTCTCCATACCCTAATCATTGACGTGGGTAGATAGAGGGTATAGACCAAATGGTAAATTGAAAACGGAACAAATGAACAAGTGAAAATTTAACAACCTCATCTGCCACTGGAACCATATCGTTTGCTAGAAATCAAATATAAAGTTCAGGTGTTCTCTTAGTTGGAATTAACAACGTAAACCGCCGCTAATGATAGACAGGTCTTTTGATATCTTAGGCTATGAAAAGAACAAAGAGTCAAAAATCAATTATAATATAAGGGGTCTAATATTTTTTTTCTTACTGAAAGTAATCTTAACTTGCTTTTCTCTGTATTTCCACAACTCATTTGTTAAAAAAGATTAATCGTTCAGCCACCTTGAAATTGGCCCTAAACACATGAAAGGCAAAACAAAAAGAAAAGGAAAAATGACGAGAATTTTTCTGGTGTCATCCTAAAGCCATTACCCAAAAATCATTCCCAGCCTCCCTCGTTCAGGATGTGGGGCTGTGACTAACTGCTTTCCCGTGCACATAAATACAGCTAAACTGTTCACACGGTCGCAAGTATTAAACATTGTGCCTTCTATTGACGGTGAATTTAAACAGGAGTCAACCTCGTAGCTCATAAAAGGCATTCTAATTTGTTCCCACAAAGGACATTTTAAAATATTCTTGTCCCTTCATTTATACTGCTAATTAGAATGCTGCAGCTATTTAGTCAGTCTTTCAGCTAAAGATTTAGTTGTCAATCATTTTTTCCTAAGTAAATCGTTTTGCCTCTTCTTTCTGTTTGCAACGTTTTTGGTTTGGACCTCACTGCATTGCCGAGGCAGCCAGTTGTGATCAGCCAATCACAGCGTATCAATTCTGTAGCAGTTTCATTCCATTCCAATATAACAGCGCGGTTTTCAGACTACAAACAAACTCACAGACAATTTATTTGATTATGAATATCTTGATAATATCAGGCAGCCGACAAAGAAAATTGAGATATTTGTCTTTCTTAATCTAGAAAGCTTTACTGTGCCTTTTATGAGCTCAATTTACTTAAAGATTGTTCCAAGATAAAAACCTGCGCGGTTTTTTCAAAGACATCTGTTACAATGGCGTAAGACCTGCCTATGGCAATCTATTGACGTTCTTTACAAACTGTGTCACGGCTAGGTGTTGAATTAAATCCAGAGCACGCTTTTTTTGAGCAGAATATTTGGAGGCTGCTGGCATACTTGGTGCTTGTTGCAATCAGTAAAATCAGGGAGCTGTTGTTTCCTTTGTATAGGATTTGCCTTAAGGTAATAAATGGCTTTTGATCCACAAAGCAGAAATTTAATAAATGTAATATTTCGATATGACAAAACATGCATAGATGCATCTGATTTTTTATCTGATCATTTTCTTCGATTTCGTATGTTTGTCGCCATGAACATCGATATGTCCACTGCTATCATACTCTCAAGTAAACACAAAAAGATCTTAGCGAGGTGTTCCATAGCTCAAAATCTCAGCTGCTGTGAAGGCGTTTTAAAATAATTTTTACCAATCAAGGCTATTCAAGTCCACTGTGCTTCGAAGCAGATCTTACGGCCATTTTTGTTTCACAGCCCTTTTGGAAGTTCTGGAAAACCATTCCGTAACCGACAAGTGCTAGACGCTACTAATGTGACCACAAATATTTTCAAACAAAGCGGCAAACTATTTCATTTAAATCATTTATGAAAACATTTCAGCTGGTTGCCAAATGACTACTGATGAATATTTATCGAATTGAGAGGTTGAGCGAAACTCAACTTTGATTTCTAAAGAAGGTTTAATTACACCACACCCAATGGTATACACTTTACAGCTATACCAGCCAAAATAAGAATTAAAAGGAATTTTTAGACAGAGTGTGCATTCTATTCAATAGATTGATCAACAAAAATGTCACTGAAGTTAGAAGTTGGTAAAAATAAACATTAACTCAATAATCTATTGCTCATAAAGTCTGCCAATATCGAGCTGTTTAATTCATGCAAAAGCCTTGCTTGTGCATTGGTCCGTGTCCGTAATATTCACCTCTCGATGTTTCCAGTATTGCACCTCGATCAGAAGCATTTTAAATTGTATTTTACGGAATATCAGTTAATAACGGTTTTTACCAAGTGAAAAACTATCTTCTCCGAGAGAATAATTCTCTTTGAACATGAAAGTCGAGTGAGGCTTGTCTCATTTTCTGAATAAAACAAAGGCTTTGAATATCGATGAATTATCAAGCACATGGTGCATAGCGAACAAAGTTGCTAGTAGTTTCTCTATTAGCAAACCATGCAGCGCGCGCTGAATCAATGTTTTGCAGTGTAAAATTGCAAAAGACAGGCCTAAAAAGTTTACAAGGGCTCCGCAGGAATTTTTTTATGATTGGCTGATTATCAAAATCATTTAATTAGCACGGGTTAAAACAAGGTATGTGAGGCTTCAACCTTTCTGGAGAAAAGAGTTGCCTTCGCAATAATTTCGCTTACACTCATTTAGCAAAAGGTTTACTGACATGCCTTACATTGGAAAACTCGTGCAATGAAGAACATACAAAAATTTCTGAAATGATCAAAAGCAGAGAGCGTAAAGGCCGTAAAAATAGCTTACCCTTAGTAAGGCCCAAAAGGAGCAACATCACAAGAACGTTGAGAAGCATATTCGCTGAAGTCACTTGGAGTTCTAGTTCCCTAGTCTACTAAATGAAGTCGACCAAAGATCCGAGGACGTCACAGGAGCTGAAGTGAACAGAACCTAGCCGGCTTACCGAGTGACTGGCGTGTGTCGCCTCTGCCGTAATGTATGTGCGATTAGTATGCTAAAGCACGTGATGAGAGCCAATAGTGGCAGTGTTTAGTGGCACAATTAACTACATTTGTTTTGTTCTGAGTGGGTTTGCAAAAGGCGGCACCAGGTGTCAAATGCATAAATTGCCTTATGAATTGCGAAATGACTGGAAATTGAGCAAATGAAGACGTGAATACTGAAAAATGCAAAGCATACGAAATAACTTGACTTGATGACAGCTAAAATCGCTTCAGAAAGTTTATGACAAGCTTGTAATGTGAAAACATTAAAATCACTAAAAGCTAAGATATCTTCGTAATATAAGAAATCTACCGACTGTCTCAAAAACTTGAATAAATTACATACCTATGCAGTCCGTCAGCCGTGAAAATTAACTGTCTGATGTATGTTTTTAGAAAATAATCGTCTAACATAGCTATGACAAAGGAAGAGAAACCAAAGTACACTAGGTTGGCTAAGTTTGTTTGCTATTTCTCTTGTGCGTTTTCGATGTCTATTTTCAAGATGCCATCGCCTTATAGTTACCAACGCTTTTCTTTCAATAATTTAATTATAGTCTTTGAGCATCAACAAACAAAGATATTCTGTTTGTGGGGAAATAAAGGGCGTTTTATGAACATCTAGAAAACGCAGAGGCTCTTAGCGTCTCGAAAGAACACCCTCGCAATGACAATTCGGCCCCTAGATAAAAAAGAAACAAATATAGCATACGGCGAAATGGCTGGCAAAGAGATTTAATTTGAATTGTCGGATAACAGTATTTCGTCCGCAGAATCAAAAGCGAACTTAGTTTTTCAGTGATTTCCATTTTTTTTGTCCCTAGGGCTTAAACAGGTTAAATTGTTTACTAGAATAATTCAGAAGACTAAATTAAATAGTGTCGCTTATTTCACATCATTAAATATTCCCTTCGAAAAACAACCATTTGAAACGACTTCTTTGTTGATTCATAAAATGCGGAATTTTGAAACATAACAACAAACAGCTACCAGAGATAAACAATGTAAAGAAAATAATTTTGCCCCTGAGGCGAATAAACTAATACCACAAGAAATAAGATTTGTTAACTTCCTAAGAGAGAATTTGTTTGAACATAATAAACTGCCTTTCTAGGCAATATTGGATCAGTACATATTCTATACAATCACATATTGATTTAATTTCGGCACATGGAGAGCTTTTCTTCAAAAGGTCGCCAAGTCTACGTTGGGGTTTACCGTGGAGGCGTTGCCAGTTTTCCTCGAGTCAACTGGACTTAAAAGTAAATTCGTGTTGACAATTTAAATCGGAGCTTTTCAGAAGCATCTTCCTCTGAAATGTCTGCTCTTTCGGATTGTTTTTTACAAGTTTAACTTGAGAAAGATTGCCAAGATTTCCGTGCGGGTTAATTTACACGGGGTCAGAATTGATACCATTTCTCACGACTTGACTGATAGAGCAACCCGCCGGGTGAGCTTCTTAGTTAATTTGAGAAATTAACTTCCCAGCTGGAAAACACTATACTCATTAAGGTTGATTTGTGGTTTGTTTTATACATTATATGTTCATAGATTCCAAAGCTTAACTGATCATCTGGTAGGTAAGGTAATAGAAAAATTTTTAACTTGAGTAAAAAGCTTCTTTACAGAGTTAGTCAGAAGTTAACATTTTTGTTTAACTGTCTGTGCTAGCGTGATGTTAACTGCATGAACAAGATTAGCTAAGATTGCAAACATACATAGCCAATTTTGTATATGTTTCTCATTTTTCTCTTTGTCATATTATTATTATAATTATTATCGTAGCTACTTGCTCGCCGGCTAACTGAAGGTGTCAAACGATCGAAGATATCAAGTTGCAACTGATCCCATTAGCTGTCTAGGACTTTTTTTTTTTAACATAATCGCAAATTTTTTTTCTGCAGTTGTGATACTGAGCGATTTAATACAGTCTTATTTAACCGCTCTTTTATAATCAATATAATGGTATCCAAAAGCCGGCACTTGTTACAAATCGGGTCGGCCGCCCGACTAGTACGCTACTTCTTTGCAATTCCAGTTTTTCAAGTTCTCCAGGACAGGTTCCGTCCAGTTAATTCATTCTTGTTATTTTGGAATAATTCTCGTCAAAAAGGGCAGCCGATATCCATTATCGTAAAATGTCAGATACGGCCGTAAATAACTCGAGACCATATCATGAAGGTCTGTTTTGTTCCAGTCATTGATGTGTCAGAATAGAAAAATTCAGTCCCCTTAACATTTATTTTTGTGTCAGATTTTGACCCGCTTAAACTGGCCTCGACCCAGCGCTTGCGCTTAACATGCGGCCTTTTTTGCACGCAGTTGTCCTCCCTTAAGGTCACATGCAATTGTTAAGTTTAAAATTCCTTCTTGTGTTCATTGAGGGCAGCATTTTATTTTCGCATTTTATCTTCACCTTCGCGGACAAGGTTCCCATATCCAACGTGGTGGGCGTCAAAAGGGAGGAGAGGGGAGGGGAAGGGAGAGGAGGGGGGAGGGAAAGATAAGATGAGGATCATGCATTAGATGTGATCCCGTCTTTCCTAGGAGTCTACTTAATCAGGCTTCATGATAGCAAGTAGCTGTTAAGCCTTCTTCCTTTATTGAGACATCAGAACTTTTAATCTGTGGTCTGTATTCTGTCGCAGTTTAACTTATCGCGTCAAAGGGCGGTGATGTTAAGCCGTCGTCCTATATCTCCATCATCTTTCCTTTTCAGTTGGAAGGGGACCCACACTGCTGTTAGGAAAGATCACGGTAGGAGTGAACGTAGATCCCGATGGCGTGGTCTGTAGTTCATGTTAGGGGTGGGGGAATCTTCACGGCGCGCCGTTAATTACTTCACGCTGTCAGTGCGGTGACCCAATTGGCGAATCCAAATACAAATAAAATAGACTCCCTATAATACAAGGATTTTGGCTGGTACTAACTTTGTTTCAATTGCTTTTTGTAAAAAGCCTTTTCGTTGAGTCAAACAGTTCTCTGAGACTGAAATTCAGAGTTCGGCTGCATGGTCGACCCAACTGAATTGACCTGTTTGAGCTTGATGCACTTTGAACATTGTCTGTAACTAAGGTTTCGTTCTATAACCTTTTTAATGTACGGGGGCATGGCTAAACGACAACGTCCCAGCCTAGTATGGTGTTGACGTCAGTACATAAACTAAAGCCTGGTTATTTTTGGATAAGTCGACAGTGTCGGTAAAAAAGAAACTTATTATAAAAGAGACTGAGAAGACATTAATTCTTTTATTAAGATGAGCTCCAGTGACTTGGTTCATTCAGTTGACTTTACCAACTTTTACTTGTTGTTTGTCGGTGCGCGAGTTACTCCACCATTGTACTGTGCGCACCTCTTTCCCCGCATAAGAGCATGTCGACATCAGTACATTTTCTGTTTAAGCGCGACGTATTTCGTCAAGATTATTCATCATTTTTGTCATTTTCGTTCCTTTGTAAGGCTACACCTATAGAAATTCATTACTGTAATGAGTTGGCAATCGGAAGTCAGCAAAGTAAATAACCTTTAGTTATTGGAACAGCAGAATGAGAGGCAATTAGACCTATTTGACCATCCTTTCATCAGAAATGATTTCAAACAAAAGGATCGTGGATTCATCTGTGAGAGCGTGAATCCCTGGAATTCAAATAAAAATAAGTTTGTGTGCATTAAAAATATAATAATCAATAAGTTTTGATTTGTAAAAGAACCGAAAATCCCGAAAATGGGCCCCTGATTTCAAATTAATAAGCGCACCTTAGATTATATTTTTTTCAGTGTTTATCCTTGCACTGATCAAACAGCAAAGACTCATTAGTGATTGTTATGCCTTAGGAGACCTTAAGATCAATCAAACCTGACCTTGTTCAACGTAATGACAATTTGTTAACACGGATTTCATTTTGGTCATAGAGGTAACAGAAGAATTTTAAACTCAGACTCTAACACTAAACAAACAGCACTGTACCAAGAGTACGAATTGCTCTATAGCTTTTTGTCTTCAGTATGAAAGACAATACAGACAAAAACTAGCCGATTGGAACCATCCTACAAACAAAAACTGTTGCTCAACTCTAACGTTTAATTGCACTTAGAAGTCTAGCTCACGGAATTCATACATATCTAGTTCAAGAACTCCTATGTTTTCCCGGTCGTAACAGAAAGTTACTCTGACAAGTGAAACGATTCAAAAGTTTTAATAAGACACATTGCCTCGGCGGAATGATTAATTACAATTATAAATAAACCGCCCTCACAAATTCCTAGGAAGAAAAAGTCATCAAATATTCACATCACGGAGCCAAAGCCAGCCTATAATCCTCGGGACAAAGACAGAGATTTAGTGCGTTCTTAGTTAATAGGGATACGCCCACGACCTGTGCGAGAAGTGGCGATGAAATAAAGCACACGGGAAGGGTGCAACTACCTTATTTTCCTTAATTTTCGCGGGTTCTTAAATTCGCGATTTTCGCGATTTTAAAAAATTCGCGAACTTAAAGATCCGCGAAAAATAACGACCGCGAACTTTGATCTCGCGAAATTTAATGGACATAGAAAAATTATGTATTTAAGTTTTCAAGGGTCCTAAACAATTTTTAACACAAGGTGTTAGTACAAGGAGCTATCATCTATCAACTTTAGATGTTAATCAGTGTCAAGATTCGCCTCAAGTTCTTCTTCGGCATCTGAGTAATCATCTTCGCACAGTTCCTGCAATACATCCCTTGCACAAATTGACCATCCTGTCCCATCTCCTTGTAATGTATAGTTACGAGTGCCGTGTATCTTTCCATTATCGCCCTGTTCCTTGGTGTATCGTCCATTTCACATATCACCTCAACAGGGACAGCAT